GTTTGAAGGACCTCTTTGATTCTGGTATTACCATCCATTTCAGTTGATGTCCAAGACATTTTGTGATCTAATTACTCAACCAACATTAGGAGGCAGCAAATGCTAATCTGTAGGACCACTACTCACCTATCAATCAACCACTGCATTAAAAAGAGTTTGAAACTGTGCTGGTTGGTTATGGCTTAAACATAATACATTCAATTTCATCCGATCAAGAAACTTGAAAAAAAAAAAAAAAAAATATATATATATATATATATATATATATATATATATATATATATATATATATGACATCACATCACATCACATCTTTGAGATATTTACATGCATGTGTAACGCATTTTCAAAGTTCAGCTCGAAATGGTACATTTAGCAACAGTGAACCTTTTTTTAGTTTTATCAATGTCATGACACACTGATCAAGTAAGTTATATATACTGTATATTCAAAGGCTTGAGGTTGGAATTATATTTGAAAGTTTTGTAAGTCTTTTGTACTCATCAAGGCACCTGCATTTATTTGATCAAAAATAAACAAACACTACTATTGTGAAATATTATTATAATTTTAAAAAACTGTTTTCTATTTCATTATCTTTTAAAAATTTTAAAAAGTTTATTCATGTGATGACAACGCTGGATTGTCAGTGTCACATGATCCTTCAGAAATCATTCTTATATGCTGTTAAGGAAATTTTCTGATTATTATCGATGTTGAAAGCATTTGTGCTGCTTAATATTTTGCGGGAACCTGGACACTTTTTTCAGGATTCTTTGATGAATAGAAAGTTCAAAAGAACAGCATTCATTTGAAATAGAAATGTTTTGTAACATTATGTTTTGCTTGAAAATTTTAGTGTCATTTTTGCCTGAAAATGTTTACGTTTTGAAAATTTTTACTTCATCAGAATAGTACGAAACTTAGTAAAGGTTTGATCACTTGCTATGTGAACACACACAAAAATAAATCATGGACATGATTCGAAAAGGTTAAATGGTCCTGAAAAAAACTCACACTTGTATGTTTTCTGTCAAAAATGACCACATCGGAAATTAATGGGAGACCAATTTCATTTAGTGGAAACGTTTGGTACTGCACCTAAACAAAATCTTACTGAAAGCTCATTTTATGAGATATCAGCCTAAAATCTGGAGCACAACTTGTTTAGATTCATGGATTTGAATTTCTCACAATTTTAGAGTAAAACATGTTTTGAAATATATTTATATCATATAAAAATTAAAAATAGTATTTTTGTAAATAATAAATGTAAACTTCTCATTTTTTCTAGTTTCACTTTTGCAATAATCTGCCAAGTGTTTTCTTTAAAAAGAGACCAAACTTAAACTGTCATAAATCTTGAATGCTTTCGAGCACAGATTTAAGTTGGAAATGTCATTTTCAGGTCAATGCTCTAAAAATCAAGCGTAGCGTCAGTTCTGACAGGTCACGTTAGTCAAGCTCTCATCAGCTGACTCTCAGCTGATACACGTCTACCTATAGGAATACGACGCATATCACTGTATACATATATAAGCTCCTTTAGTATTATCAACAATATCGCATTTCTCAGGAGCTAATTACCCTCCTCCATCCCCAGCTCCTCCTCTCGTCAGTCAGGATTTGGCATTCTGATTGCCCTTTGAATCAGAATAAATTCTCGAATTATGTTGTCCTTTAAAATCTTGAATTAATGATATCTGCAATACATTCATGTTGGTTCTGTTCTGTTTACCCTGGGGGGTTATTGCTGCTCTCCATGCTCTTGCGCAGGGAGTTCTTGCCCAGAACAGAACCATACCGCCAATCCTAACTGTGTGCTAATTGTCAATCGAATTTGACGATAGTGGTCCAGACAGAAATGTGGTTAACAGTTAATCACGGATCATAACTAGTCCACAAATATAATTTAGTACCATAAAATCCCCTAAAAGTGCTAAATACTAAATAATAAAACACTATCGAACTAAAATATAGTACATTCATTTCATTGGGGGAAAAAAATTCAGTAATTTTTTACTTTTTAATTGCTGTAATTTTAATTGCTGAATAAAAGTACACAAATATATATATATTACAGACCCCAAACTTTTGAACGGTCACAAAATGTGAAAATTTGCGATATGTTTTGCCCTGAAATCACAAATTTGCATTTGAGATGTTTGTCAACAAGCTTAAATGGTGTTAAATCTGTCTTGCTTTCAATTTTACAGTTATCTCAGAGGCATTGTGCCCATTCAAACCGAGGGGTTAACTCCTCATGTATCATCACCAATCATATATGTAGAGGAAATGTATGAGCTTGCTCATTAGAAACATTAGCTCCACTGCAAAGTCATTGGAACACCAAATTATAGTAAACATCTGCTATACATAAAAAGGTTAGTGTTCCAGATTGATTCCCAAATGGCCTTAATGAGTACCTTTGAATACCGTGAGCTACAGTTTTACAAGTGTAAGTGGCTCTTTTATGATAAGAAGCAGTGCAGGACACTGGGTGTAGGGAGTGTACGATACCATGTCCTGAGTCAGCGTGTTCTGGGGTGGAGCAAACAGGAAGCCTGCTCTGATTTCTGATCTCTTTTACCAACACTGGCCCTTCAATCCCACGTCACTTGCATCACAAGATCAGAAGGAAAGGGGCCTGAACTGGGTCACAGCAGCGTACAGGAAGGGTCAGGAGCGATAGGAAAGTATGGGAACTGCTAACCTCAGTATGATTCTGATAAACCAGGCTTTTTTCCTTGAACAGCCATGAGAACGGCACACAAGCTTAACCTCTGCCCCGCTTAAATGATGTTTTAGTGGAATAGACCACGGGGCTCTGGGCATAATGCCATACCCCCCTACAGAACCAGCATTAGTAATACAGTACTTTCATGCAAAGACAAAAGACACGACACACCGGTTCATTAAAATTCCTCGGCTCATCTGCATGACTTGTGAAGCAGAGGTTGTCAGGTATAATGCTCAAGCGCTGTTCTCAAACAAATCAAAGCAGACAGCCAGATCACACCTCTCTCCAAAGCCCCGTGACCAACCAGGCTGTATTACTGAGTCTTTATGTTGTTGCCCTCCAAAATATAACACAGCCCTGATAAAAAGGGCCTATTATTACCAAATTTATGATGCTGAGTTAAAAAATATCAATAAAAACTTCCCATCAGTTTTTTTTCTTCACAAAATAAGAATGATTTTTCAAATGATATATATATCAGCTTTAATGCACTTATCAAAATAACAAAAGTCCATTTTGTTGTCAAATATCAAAAGTTTTAATGACGACATTAGCGTACAAACTAGTGGGGAAATTTTCAAATACTCAATTTAATGTCAAAAACTTTACATAAACACACTTTTTTTTTTAAATAAGCCTTTTTCATAAAATCTGTAATTTGCTGTCACCGTTTGGATGCTAATGGATGCTAATAAGTAAAACAGATGAAAGAAAGATGTTTCAGAAAGCATCTGTCATTTTTGCATTTTCTTCTGCCAATGGCCAATCTATCCATTTAAATCAGGACTGCATAATAATGAATAATGTCATACATGTGAAAATCAGCTGAGAATTGAACAAATAGTTCTAATCTGGCTCAGAGGAAGACAGGAATCATACCTTTATAGCAGTATTTCTGGTGATTAAGGGATAATACAAGACTTCTTCACTTTACAAATGGTTGTCTAAAGCAAAAATGCAATGAAATTCACATCATATTTTGTGCGATGTGCTAGAGCAACTTTAGGCACTTTTTTAAGCAACCTAAAATTAGTAAGCATTCAGCAAATATGTTGCAGGACAGTGTAATAAATAAAAACATATAACTATGTTTTAAGATGCTAAATTGTGAATTCTCTTTTTAACGTCTCCTTATACGAGCACCAAACCAGAAGGTTTTCCACTGAGCATGATGCCGTGGCTTCTGTGGAGGATACACGTTTGCATTTTTCATGATTTGAAGCCCAATTAGAAGCCAATCCCACCTCTATTATCTCTGAAGCCAGTATCACGGGATCTGCGTCTGTCATCCAGCTGCCATGAGAATGCAGAACCGACCAGCGTCCAGCGAAGATTCCTGTTTGAACTGGTCAGCTGGTGTACAGGCCCCTCTCCCTGCGTTAAAGCCTCATTGTTCCCAGGGAAAGTGTTCTTGTGCTAGAACCGGCTGTGCCAGATCCTTTCCAAACATAACATGCGACTCTGTGGGGCTCCGGGCAAAATCAACTGTGTTGAAAAGCTCTGAGCGGTTACATATCGCAGTCTGTAAAATAACTAATTCTATTTGTGAAGTCTTATTTGATTAATGCTTAATTAAGCGTGAAATCTCAGTTGGTTTGGCTTGTTATACGAGAACCATTTCACATTAAAGAAGAATATTTCCCAAAATCTATTTTAAATGTTTTTTTTAGAAATGTGTTCTTTGTATCCATGTTGGTTTTGTGATATTTTAAGTAGTCTAACATACAGTAGCATGTGGTATATGCATCAATTAAAAATAACATTACCCTTATCCCTTGAATTTTTTTTCAAGTATATATTTGTTTTATTTTTTATTCTTTTTTTATGATATCAGAACAGTTGTATCATCCTGACATTTTTGGCTATGACAAAAAATAATTTAGAAATTAAATCTTTTGTATGAATTACAAAATTTGTAAATTCATTACACATTTAAATTGTACATAAATGACTAAGATGCAATATTGCACTCATGAAGCACCGAACATTTATATATTTGTTCGACAACAGACTGAGTACAAAGTTCATCCTGTCTGGTCACATGCATGCCTAGAACGGGACACACAAAGTTCATGTAATGTCACCTCTGTTGCATGTCCCAGTGACTCTATAAAGGAACAACCTTTAGTGACTCATATGTAAAGTGCGTCAAACGATTCAGACTTAAAATGTCATCAGAAAGTTGCTCAGGTCATAAACTTTGATAATTTGCATGAGTTCATCATGCAACAAGTAATAATGATAACTCAAAACATGATAATATGTTTAGTGTAGTTGTGGATTTATTCAAAGTGTACAAAATCCTGACATAAATATGAACATCCCCAACACACAAGCACTGAGTGACAAACTTACACATTTCAATGTGGAACAGTGGATAGTTAAAAAAAACAAAAGGAAAAAAAACGCTTCATTCGAAGCAATACATTACTTCTTTTTTTGTAGCATGATAAACTCTTTACAAAAAAATCGGATGCTGCAAGTTCATAGATTAGAAAAGGGAATTTCTAAAGTGCATTTAAACATCTCTTGTCAGGGAATCGCACAATGTGGGTACAAGCTAGAAATGACAAAAGCAGTCCTCAAGCTTGGGTTAAGCTCTACTGCACCAACATGTGTCAGTCAACAGAACTACTTAAGAAGGATAGTACACCTTTAACCTCTACTAATCTTGACAATTACCACATTCGCCTGTTGAACTACATGACGAAATACCCTTTTCTGTGATTCCGATCTTTAAACATTTGTGCATTCCCAAACAAGCGATCCATAAAGCTTATTCTGGTTCCCCTGACCACCGAGACGACAAACACTCAGAGAAAATGACGGGTGGCCATTCTGGATAAAAACCAATGGGGGGAACACATCACCTGAATGTATACATTGGATTTTTCATTCTGTCCATGGCAGCTTTGGTAATCAATCCTTCCATTTCGAGATTACATGAATGCTAGGATACGTGTAACACTTCAGACGCAAAGACAAAGACCAACTCTTCGGCGATCAGCCTTTGTCATTTACAAGTTCATGTCCAATGTTGTCCTTCATGAGACCTCGATGTACCACAAACCCCATGACATTGCGTAACACTGTGTTGATGTAAAAGTTCCATGTGATCGTCCCACCGCTGCTACGATCCAACAACCAGAGTGGTAAATCAATATTGTCCTCTTGCGTCTCTGAACTATCTGACTGATAAAACTCAGCCCACTGAAACAATAATTCCAGGAGCGCAGGGCCGCAAAGACCAACGGCACGTCACCAGTGGAGCCATCACAGAGGCCTACCACCACGTCCAGCTCACATTCCCATCACCAAACAGTCATCTTTTCCTCTTCTGCTGCCTCATCATCTTTCTCCGCTTGATGATCATGGAGTGGAGACGTTCCAGGCCTTCTTGTAGACCTTCTCCGATGATGGCACAGGCCGGTTGGAGGTGCCAGGGTGTGTGAGAGCCGAGCTCGTTCAGCGCCAACATCTGCTCGACCTCGCATAGAGGCAACGCACTGCGCAGGTCCTGCTTGTTCGCCACCACCAACACGGGCACCCCCTGGTTCTCCTGTAGCCGCGTGATCTTATGCAGCTCCGTTTTGGCCTCCTCCATGCGTTCGGCATCTACCGAGTCCACCACGAACACCAGGCCGTCAGCACACCGCGTATAGGAGCGCCAAAGCGGCCGGAGCTTTTCCTGGCCTCCTACATCCCAGAAATGAAAGGTCCCAGTCCGGCCTTTCCCACCGAGAGGCAGCTTGATCTTCTCCGTGTTGAAGCCCTTGGTAGGAACGGTGTTCACAAACTCATTAAAGCGTAGCCGGTACAATACCGTGGTTTTACCGGCACAGTCCAAGCCGAGAATAACAATGTGCAGGGCCTGAAAGGACGGCAGGCAGGGAAAGATGGCATGAGGCTCTGATAATCCATTCCCCATCTTGTTCTGCCACTCTGATGAGGATGAAAGCGAACGCGGAGACTCAGGGGACCAGGTGTCGCTGCTGCTACCGTTTCACCAAATATTCACAAGGCTTCTCTCGTTCCCCTGAGAAGCTGCTGCTATAACCTGAAACCAAATGAAAAAGGAGATGATGCAATGAGGCCAGCAGTGAAGCACCATGACACACAGTTTTACAGCTCTTCTTTACTTGGCTGTTCATTTGAAGTAAGTATGCTTTGCTCTCTTTGTCATTCTAAAAGGCACACAGATTCAAACTAGCTGGATGTCATTCAGTGCCTTTTTTGATGTTGAATGAGGGATGAAACAGCAGGAAGCCCATTTGCACATGTAGCGCCACAGGGGCACCAGAATTACGCATCGGTAAAAATCCTCGTGCGCAAAAGGCTCCTGTTCATCTATTCATGTCATTTTATTGTTCAACACAGTAGTTGCCAGTTGCAAATAGAGACAAATGCACTAGGCTCGCCTATGTAAACGTGGAAAACACGAGTCTGTCGCAGATCTCTATGGCCATCTGTAGAAGCGCTTTAGGAGGGGCACATCTCCATACATAAAGACATGAATCTTGTTCATTATGTTCTTCCAACAAGTGATTCAACATAAGAACCATTATTATTTTGTGCACTAAAAATGTTTAACGCGCCCTAGAAGGCTAGAACTTCGTTACCAAAATAATAAGTTACTCTAAATTATATTATTGCACAGACTAATGTTATTTTTCTATAATTTAAGCTTTGTAAGCACCCGCGTGTGGAAATAAAATATCGTTCGGTACCCACCTTATTTAGTGCGATCTTTGCGTAACGCGTTAGCTCAGTAGATGACAGTGTTTGCGATTATTTCCAAAATATTGTTGCCAGTCAGATCAGCTGAATCGACAAGTGTATCCACTCCCTGTAACAGCGCCTGTTTCACTGACTCCACAGCGAGAAGCATTCCACTTCATTCTAGCAGGGCTGGCTCCGCCCACTGTGTGGAACAACGCGCTGATTGGTTCAATTCAGTGAGCGCGTGTTATTTTCCTTGGAGTTTGATTGGTGAAGAGTCAAGCCTGTCGTCTTTTTGCACACACCTCCTCACCACCTGTTCACGTCGCTCAAGGCGTTTAAAGTTTGAGAGAGCGCTTACAGGTGAGCGTTACCCAGGTTATGAATGAGAAGTTAAATGCTTTAGCTGTGCAAACAAAAAGGTTGAGTGTCCATTTTTTGTTTCAATGTATTATTGGTAATATCCACTTCATCCAGCATTTTGTCCCGTGTGTTCTTATACATTTCGTTATTTGTGTAGACACCTATGTTTTATTGAGGAGACACTGCTTAAAGGGGTAGTTCACCCAAAAATTTGTCATCACTTATTTAGCCTCAAGTTGTTCCAAACCTGTATGAGTTTCTTTCTTCTGTTGAACACAAATATATTTTAAAGAATGTTGGCAGGCCAACATTCTGTTTGATTATCAACATTCTTTAAAACATATTTTATAAACATCTGCTGTAGCTACATAAAAAGATTAGTGTTCCAGATTGATTCTACTTTATAAAAAATATTTTCTTTTGTGTTCAACAGAGGAAAGAAACTCATACAGGTTTGGAACAACATCAGGGTGAGTAAATGATAACAGAATTTTCATTTTTGGGTGAATCTCATCCGAATCACGAACATTCAGTCCGTTTGATAACGCTTTGAGCAATTTATTTTAAAACAAAAAACGACTCACGTTGTTCACAGTTCGATTCTAATAAACACAAAGGAAATATGGAGACGGTTGATAAATTGCAGGGGTAAAATGTAGGATCTCATTTTAACATAACTTATTTGTGGAAAAAGAATCCCAGTAAAAGAGTCTTGCCTGAACTTAAAAAAAGTGAAGAAGAAAAAAAGGTAGGCCTACGTCAACAACATGAAAACTAATTAAATGACTAGTGGAAAGCAAAAGAGAATAAACATAAGTGAGCAACTCTTGTCAAAGAAAGGAGGCAGATCAAAGTGTCAGAACAATTAGCCGTGCTATATCAATACACAGTTACCCCGTGATGGACGTGCTGTCACTCACACACACACCACACATGTATTCATACACCGGAGATCTAACTGAATAGCTACGCTAGACTGGCTTGATTGCTCGTCCTCAAACAATCGTTCGTCTAAGCTCCTTAATAAACTAGTTAATTCAGTACAGGTTAATTAGTCTATCACTTAAAAAGATGACATGACAACCACATTTGCATGTCTAGTAAAATATGTCTATTCAACAAATGTACAAAATAGCCGACCTACAAAATATGAAAACTATGTTTTAGGGGTTGATTTCTTACAATCAACCCGTTTAAGAACGATTTTGCTGATTTGAACGTTTAAAATTAGTTTTTAGTAATATAAATCAGTTTTGTAGTTCTAGCAGCACTCAATATGTATATTTACATTTAGGCTGAACAAAAAGTGTAAGGATTTTGTGCGTATTTTTTTTGTTTGTTTCACTTGTGCGCCATCTTGTGGTATTGGGAGGAAACACCACATCGGCTGTTATTGTTTACCATGCTTTCCATTATGGAAACGTAAGCAAGCACATACATTCTGCTCATTGGATAGGTTATCCTATGAAACCAACTGCACGCCATACAGGTTTTACAACTGCGCTTTATTACATTAGTCCTTTAGTCACAACGAAAAATAGTCCAGAGTCAAAATAACATAGGAACATAATTTTTAAAAAAAAAATTGTTTAGCAATTGTGGGGGAAATGGAATGATAAATCAAGTATACAAATGTATGTCTTTTCTTTTTTTTACTTTCATTATTCATGTAAATGTAACAGTACTTTTACAATAGGCTACTAAAAACCCACCAGTCACAAATGTGACCACTGCCATGTTTAGGCCTACAAGTATTTTGATCGATTTATATGCAGTCGTTTGTGTGCAGGTTTGGCTATGCTTGTGAGGTCTAAAATATTTTTCTATTTTACTATTATACTATTCAACATTTTATAGAGTGAAACCTGTTGAGCACCAACTAGTTAAAAATGCTCAGAAATGTTCCAGAAGATGTTAGTCTTTAAGTCTAATGATGTGCACAGGTGAGGGTCAGTTTTAGGGATAGGGGTTGGGTTAGGACATATAAAGTATGATTACCCTGATATAAAAACAGTGTAAGTCTATGAGATGTTCTCACTAACAAAGTGAAACAATATGATCCCTCCCTTCTTTACTGACTCTTATCAGGAGTGCATCATGCATTTAACCAAACCGTTTGGCTGCCCATGCACAATAAGTCATCATTACAAGCCCCCACACATATTTCACCATTGTTCCAATGCGTATTAAGTGATATGAAAGATTCCTGGTTAAAAAGGAATGTTACAGTTTTGTATCTACGATCAAATACTTACAATTTGTATGTAGGCTACCAAAGTAAATATTTACAATAAAGACAGTTAATTGGTGTGATGAACCATCACCTTTTTAAAAATACATATTTCTTAAACTGTAATCAGTGTATTTATATGTATGACGTATCATAGTACGATGATGTTCCATGGAAGTACTTTGGAGAAGCAGGGAAATAATGGTGTTTTTCAACGTACCATGGTATATCATGCACATATCAGTGGTCAGCAAAACTAAAACAACAGTTCTAGAATATTTATCTTCAATTATTACTCGTTGTAATATATCTCTTGTTTCTAGGGGGCTCTTGTGTGCTGCATTGACTAAGAAACTTTTTTTCTTTTCTTTTTTTTCAAAATGTATTGATTCTTTAATTGTACAATTTAAATCATGCTTACAGAAATCCAGAGCAGAAATATAAATCTGGGCAAACAATTCTAAGAGAAAACACAACTTTATGACTTGAACAGTATTGAGTAACTTCATACATATGTTGGACATATGGCATATTTTTAGAAGGATTTGAATAACAGTCCAATACAATTCACTAATCATGCTTCAGTAAACAACTATCTGTTTTATCTCCCCAGTGAAGTCTGTTGAGTTAACCTGCAGTCCTCAGTTAACCTGCAGTGATTTCACTGCTCTTTCCATGAGGTCACTGTCCCATCGCGAGGCGTCCCACCCAAGGAACCAGCCGGTGAATGTGGGGGGCTCATGCCCCTGCTTTACCACCACCACAGAAGTCCCCTTGTCCCGTCCTGATGGGTCTGTCTCAATGTAAGTCCTTGCTGCAAAGGTACAAATACTTACTTTACATGATGTTGTTATTTTATGTTTAAACTGTATCATGTGATCTGTTCAGGTAAGCATGCTGTTAAACCTGTTAAAGGCTTAAAGGGGTTTCGGATTTCAAATTATGTAGAAAAATGTTTTAAGCAATATATGCCTGCTGCATCTCACCAGATTTTACAGACTCAGTCCTCTCCACCTCATTGGCATCCTTTCCAATCCACACAAAGACCTGAGAGATTAAATCAGGGGTCAGAGACACGTATCACACACCAACCAAAGTCAGGAGATATCTTTGACTATTAAAGATTGTCAGAGACATAATTAAGGATGTAATTAAGAGAGATAACTCTCTAACCTGATCCCAGACATCCAGTAACATGACATCATCCTCTGCCAGGTCATCTTGGTTAAACTCACCAGATACTTCTTCAATCTATAGTTGTAAAAATGCATAGTTAGTGTCCAAACAATATTTTGCCTATATGTAGCGGTATCTGAGCGGTTATCACAGAAAGACAAGGCATGTTTTACATTTTCTGCATTGTCTTCCATGCAAAATGATTATTGAAAGCAATAACCAAAAGTGAAACTGAACTGGACTTTGGTTTACTCTTATCAGGTCTAGGATACTCACGATGAACCTGCCACTTTTGTTGGAGCAGGCGAACATACGGGGAGGACGGGCTATAGTTTTATTCTCCAACATCTCAGATTTCTGATACTCTGTCTTTCCACCCAGAGCCTTCCAGAAGTCCTCTTTAAATGGAAAATGAGCAATGATTATATAAAAAATGTAGAACTTCCTTCCACTCCTGTCACCTACCAATGTGTGATTAAAAAGGATGAAGAGTGTGAATTGAATTTGTTACACATTGGCCATACCAGGCTCATTTCCTTCAGTAACTGGCTTGGTTTTGCACTTCAGCTTCTCACTCATGTACTTTGCCCCTCGTTCCTCTTCCTCGCTCGCTCCCTTCCCGTTCCACACGTACCCATTCCCCTGTGGTAACTTCAGCAGGTAGGCATCATTGGTGTTCAAACTTGATGCTTTAGCATCCACCTGTTAGACCACAGACCAACACATTCAAAGAAAAGACCTAAATTAAAAACAGGTCACGCTAACCAAAAGATGGTTAACTGTTTTGGAACATCAGGCAAAGATCTCCACCATCTTGGCCTAGAAAACCTGCCAGTGCTAAGCAGGATGAGCTAGATAACCTCAACTCCACCACATGTGGTCTACTGACACCAACCAGCTTGGACAATCTACTGACTATAAATGATCAGGTTAGAATTGTAAACCATGCACAAGATACTTGGTTTAGGTGTATCTTCCTTTTCCTGATAATTTCATGTGACCAAACTCATGTTTCTGGACATGTTTCAGAGACCAGGACTCACCTCACAAATTCGTGTAATGGTGCCCAGGTTCCTGCGCACTTGAAAGAGACGGGTTGGAGGTGCGGGTGCCTGTCCCCCCTTCCTAGAAGTCCCATTCTTATACACGATCAGAGGCTTTTCTTTAAAGAGACTCAGCAAATGAGGTGGTTCCTTTCCTTGAGTCACTCGCACCTGGATGGATGTGGAATGGAACCACCATGGTAAGATAATAACACCGGGTTTAGTCATGTTTAGTCAGCCCCTGCTGTACATCTTTGCAGCCCAAGTCCATAATTCAGCCCTATTTACAGTCAATAAATGAGTAGATCAAATTCAAACTCCCATCACCTGAACAGCATTTCCTCCCAGCGAACGATCCAGTTCT